ATAGATAGATAGATAGATAGATAGATAGATAGATAGATAGATAGATGATGATGATGATGATCAGAGCTCCATGTTAAAAAAACAAACATTCAGGATGAGTAAAAACAAGACAAGCAACAGTTAATCTAGTTTTCTAAACAAAAAATGCAGATTTTTGTTGTAATGAAGTAAAGATAATGAAGTAAAGTTTGTTTTGTAGCAGCTGAGAAGGGCCAGACCAAAAGATTTTTATTTTAAATTACCAGAATAAAGTCGTATTTTTATGAGAACTTCTCCTCACTGTGTTAAAATGAGGAATTTTGAGCATCTTGTGAAATTATACTTTGGTACAAATACAACAAGTTGGAACATTTGGTAAAACATAAATAAAAACAGAATCTGATGATTTACGTTTTCAACCCCAATTAAATGCACGACAAATATTTAATGTTCAAACTGATGAACTTTGTTGTTTTTTTTAAACAAATATTAACTCCTATATGATACCTGCAACATGTTCCAAATTTGTTGCTATGTGGCTTTGTCTTTGCATGATAGAGCTTTAACTTAGATAGACAAACTGACGTTCAGATTATCGTGATGGCTCTAAAGATAATCATAGCAGATATTCCTGAGTTAAGAGTCATCTAGATGATGAAATCACTAAACTTCTTGCAAATAAGAAACACTGTTAGTAAATTGTTGGACTATTTGCTGATGCAGGTGTTCACAGAGCGGTGAACCCTTGAATGACTGAGGCTTTCAGGGATGCTCCCTTTGTACCCAATCAACCTGCTCACCTGTGAAATGCTGCAAACAGGTGTTTTTTGAGCATTCCTCAACGTTTYCAGTCTTTTGTTGCTCCTGGCCCAGCTTTTTTTTTTTGGAATATTTTGGTTAACCCTACAACCGCATCAAATTCAAAATGAGTGAATATTTGTAAAAAAAAAAGTTAATTTGAACTTTAAATATCTTGTCTTTGTAATGTATTCAATAAAATACAGGTTGAAAATGATTTACAAATCATTGTATTCTGTTAATAATATACAGTTAACACATAGTTGCAYTGTCAAATAAAGAAAAGTAATTATTTTGTTTCTCTCTGTAAAGTTGCAGACCTGTAAAGAAGTCCTCCCTGTGTTTCTTCACGGTGGACAAGGCAGCTGCAGAATTAACGTTGAGACTTCGTGAACTCGGAGTTTTACATCCTCGAGTTTCAAACTGAGTTCTTCCAAAGCCAAAGGGAGGCCTTAAACACACAAACACTGAGTTTATCTGTGAAACCCTTGAGGAGCTGAGAGATGCGAGGGTGAGATTTTATAAGAAAACTAACGATGGTGAACAGAAGAATCACATCCCAGGTGGTTTGATCTGTTCATGAGGAGAAAAAACTGGTTCTGATTTGCAAAAACTKTGTTTTCACCAGATTTTACTCAACAGAAAAAGGCTGAGAGCTGACGACATTAGAACATGAGAACATAGTTTGTGGTCACTTCCTGCCTCTTTACAGCCTGAYCCACGCTGCTGGGAACTTTACATTTGCGTCGCAGTCTGTTCAAACGATTTGATTGGTTGTCTTCTTTTGACTGACACCTTTTTTGACTGGCTGGGCTCATCTGTTGTCTCTCCAGAGCACAAAATGTGTGGAAAGCTCCTCAGGTCCCGCCCACAGCGTGATTGATTGACTGTAGAATCAGCCAATCAGGTCTGAGCTTCATTCTGACACAACAGCTGTGCACCCAATCAAGTTACCTTTTATTCAATATGCATCTCTGTGGTGTGAGGACACTCCACACCAGTAGGTGGCGGTAATGCACCTGTCAGTTGCTTGCCAACCACCAAAAAAGAAACCAGGAAGAAGACAAAGAAGAAGTGGTGTGAGGACAATACAAATGGCAGCCATCTTGGCCCTGAGTGGTGTCAACAGCAGACATACATAGTGGTTTTATGGTGTGTGTTTTTTTTTGGACAGCTGATAAACTTGTTGTTAAAGAGGAAATATATTTATTATGAAGTGTTCTGAGTGCTTCAAGACAAGGAAGATGGATTTTTGTGGCCAGGAAATACCATAAAAGAAAGGATTATACCTTTGTTCTGGACGCCATTTTGGATTTCCTTTGATCAGAAAAAGAGGACAAATTATGCATCAAAAGTAAGTGAAAACTTTTTTTTTTTTTACTGCTGCTGGTTTTATAAGCTGTGTGAATTGTAATGCTTTGGAAAAAGTGAAGTTTTATTCATTTTTTGTTGTGTTTTGGCTGTTTGTTGGTGGGGATTCGCTGAATGTCATCCAGCTGTGATTCATATTACTTTTTTTCTTTTTAAATCCTGCTGTGAGTAAATMTGGATGTAGAATATAATTTATGGTGGTTTATCTTTCATTTGAGCCCTCAGTGAAGTCAATGTTGAAGCATATATTACAGTAAAAAAATAACTACTTCCACAAACAGAATGAAACTTTTTGAGTCAGAAAAGATGAGAAGTTAGAAAAATGTGTGAAAGACAAGTGAATGTACTCCAACCAAACAAGCTGCTTTCTTTCTTTGACTTTAGATAAATGTTAAGATGCAACACTAAGTTGACCAGTGGCCTCATTATTATTTAAGATTWATTGAAAAATGAAGATAAAACATAAAGAATTGTGTTAAATTGGACAGAAAGYAAAGAATCCCTAATGAAAAACAATCTGAAGTGATTAAATAGAAAAGATCATAATTTAACATGTGTGATCAGTTTGTGGAGCTCTGGGAAGCTGGGATTATTCTGTTACATTAAGATTCTGATCCAGAGTCCCCCACATAACCCTGAATCAAAAGAACCTGCAGACAGAGGAGATGTTTAATACATACAAGCTGAATGAAAGAAAGCAGAAGCAGTGACAGTAAAGAAATAGACGACAGGACAAAAAGAATTATAAAGGAGAAAGCTGCACTTGTTCTCTGACTTATTTATCTGGTTGAGGAAAACCAGAAAACTCCATTTTTTTCCCTCCTATTCGTTGTGAGGTGGTGGAGACAGCAGGTCCAGCAGTGAACCACAGACCTCCCTCTAACCAGAGACACCCCAGGTCCTCCTCGGATCAAGGTGTTCCCAGACCAGGAGGATTAGGTCTTCAAGGTCTCTTCAGTGGGACAAGACCAGAAAACAAACAAAAGGATGCGTCCTAATCAGATTATGATCCAAACTGGACGAGGATAAAGTCTCAGAACACAAACTGAGTTCTGAGTTCTGCACTGCAAAAACTGTCCATCTAACCAAGTTTTAAATCTTATATCAGCCAAAAAGTCTTTTTCATCTTGTTTT